TTCAAGATCATTGAGATCAAGGAGGCGTACCTATTTCGTGAATAATTACTATAAAATTATTTAATCTCTAATCCAGATCCGCATACCGTCGTAAGAGGTAACGATCGAACTCGAGCCGAATTGAGCAAAAGGGTTTTTCGTGTTTCAGGAGAACAGCGGCGTTCAAGATAGTGTCGAGGGGGAGGCATTGTTCACGATACGTGCGTGGCCGCGTGCGTGCGTGCATGGAAGAGAGAAACGGACGAAGGACCTCGAGGTACGAAGGAGAACGAGGCGGAGCAAGGTGGCTCCGCTAACGGCACGAGCGGCGGTGAAAAAATGTCGAGCGCCGCGGACAGTCCTGATGGGATGGCTTTGCAGTCGCACTATTCCTTACGATGGAACAATCATCAGACGCATATACTCCAGGCCTTCGAGGCGTTGCTACACGCGGAATTACTCGTTGACGTGACCCTGGTCTGCGCCGAGACTAGTCTCAGGGCGCACAAGGTTGTTCTTAGTGCCTGCAGGTAAGGAAACATTGTTTTCGTGCCGATCTTTCGTGTATGTGTGTGTGTGTGTGTGTGTGTGTGATGCACGCGTGCATGTGTGTGTGTGTGGTGTTATGTGTATATGTGTATATGGAGGGCAAAGAAACCTAATATGACGTAGCAAAAGTTGATTTGCGTATTTTCTGCGTTCTTGGCAGAGAGAGAGGATAAAGAAGAATAAATTGTATTGCTTTGTGAAAATTTGTATTACTAAAATTTGAAATTTGATTTAATCTCATTGTGAATATAACTCAAGGGATTAAATTGTTGAAGATGATTGATATTTTTGCATCTAGTTGATGTTTAAGTAAAAAGAAATTATTTGTATTTTATATAAGTTAGAATTATTGAAAGCTAAAAGGTATATCTAATATGATTTACTTAAGAGATACTAATTCGGTGTATGCTAATTATTTTGAAGTTATTTTTATACGTGTCTTTATTATATATTATTATAAATGTTTTTAAATAGTTTTTATTATATTAATTTTATTATAGTAAATAGTATATTGAAATTATGATTAAATCATATTAGAAACACAAAGTATATTGAAAAAGAAAAAAACTTTTTCAATTAAGATAAAAAAATAATCTTTCAGTCGATTAAACTGTTCAAGCACATTATTAATTAAATAGCTCTAGTATGTATACATGCATTTATGAAATTCAAGAATGTGAAGTAAAATTATCAGAGATTCAATAATTTTTAGATTTAATAAAATTCATTTATTGAAGTACTTCTCTTTTTATAATTATTGATTACATGGCATAGCAATTTATCTTTTTATACATGATTAAATACTAATATAATATAAAAAGTGATAAATTTTAACACTTTCTTTATATGATATATTGAATGAGTAAATGATACAAGTGATCATATTAAGTATCTTTATCCTATCTCTGTTCGCATCTTCTACCTTATCTGCTGTAATATTATTATTTTGCTTATTTTTCTTGTTTCGTATGATATTTGTTGATAATTGAAAACGCTTTGTCTTGAATAACATATAAATAAAATACTTGAACAATGATATATTTAAATAATATATCATATTATTTGGATTGATGTCATTTTTAAATGAAAAATAATATGCGAAAGTAAATCAATTTACTATATATTCATGTTTTAAAATATTTTAATATGTATAAATATTTATTTTTTGAAACTATTATATAATTTATTGAATTTTTTTTATTTATTTTTTTTTATTGGAAACTTATTCAACCTTAGATTATATCATTTTGTAATTCGAAATTCGATTTTAAATCGTTTATTGATAACTAAACTCAAACCGTTATGTTTACGATACAATTACAATATACAATAAGTTACAATCTAATTTCAAGATATTAATGTTTACAAATATTTTTCTTAGAAATAATCCTATTAAATATTGAGAGATCGGAAATAAATGTTTTCACATGCTGAATCTCCATTGATTTTTAAGGTGTTTTTAAACTAAATTAGCTTTAAAAAAAGCAGTTTTTTCAGATTTCTAAGTTAAATTAAAAAATAATAGCAATTTTCTAAAATTTCTATGATAAATTGATTTTTATCTAAATTAATAAATTGTTATATATTTGTTAATATTTGTAATTGATTTTTAAATTCATAAAAAATATATATTTGATACATATTTTTTTCTTTTTATCGATTAAATTCCATTTTAAGATGAAAATGTGAAATTATCCTGTAAAATTGAGAGTTGAAAACATATATTTTGAAATATCATGAGAATTAGACAGCGTAAAATATTTTTTTTTTTCTTAAATTGCATTTTTGAATTAGAAATCATATAAGAAATTTTAACTTATAAAATTAACCTTTTTTATATAATATATTAAAGATTTTGAATTTCTATTAATTTTTTTTTTTTTAATAAATATTAAGTTACACTTATAATAATTTACGTATAAAAACTATAAGTCAAAATAGAAGATACATATTTTTATTTCTTGATTTTATTATGAATTTTATAAATAAAATTATTATTTTATATAATGTTTGAAATAGTGAAATTTTTTGAAAAATGTAAAATAAATGTTTTTTATATTTAAGAATAACGATACGATTACAATTAATCATTATAGTCGATTTAAAGAAAAAAATTCCATGAGATTTTCATATTTGCCTGAACGATTACAACAAAAATACCAAATACCAAAGTAAAATTATGTTATAACAATTAATTAATTATAATATATTATAATAATTGAATAATATAAAGGTATTACAAAAAAGGTATTATATACAAAATTGATAAGTTACAGATAAATAATATACATTTCAATTATGTTATTTTTGAATATAAATTGATAGTTAATGTAATGATAAAATCTATATCAAAAAGATTCTTGAATAAGTGGATTTAGAATAAACAATATAAACATTTATTGAAATGAGAGAACAAAAGATATAGATAATGAACACAAATCAAAGAATAAATTTAGAAGAATTTCAAACTTCCATGTATTGGTTATGATGAAATTCATATTTTTAAATGTAATTAAAAAAAGACAAGTTTATTACTTGTCATCATATTCACAATTTAATACAACATATGGCAGCTAAAAATTTTGTATAAATAAATATTTTGAAATAGATTATTTGAAAAATAAAAAATAACATTTGAAGATAATGTTTATAATAATAATTACAGTTCAAGTATCATTAGTACTAATATATAAGAGTTAAGTTAACTTTCAAATATTATCGTATCATGTTCTCATACAATTTACTTCGACAAAGTATGCATAGTTACACAATTCCATCCACGATTTCAGCAAGTGGTCAATTACTTTCACCACTTTCATTGTTGTTAAAAGAAATAAGCGAATAGTTGGGGGGCCATACATTCGACAAAATATGTTCACAGCTCTAAATATATATAGAAACTTACGAAATCTAGGAAATTAACGAAAAAGTTATTTGCCTATCAAGGATTTTATTCCCAATGATTTTGACAACGTGATCTTATTATCTTTTATTTAACTTTATTCCGGTTTTTGAACAGAAATAGAGAAAAGAGATTGTACAAGCTTATGAGGATAAATAATTGAAAATTATTGACAATTTCAAGAAATATAATGCTATTCCAATTATTCATTGATATAGATAGATGTCACAATATGGTCGTCATATTAAATATTATAATATATAATATCAATTTATATTCAAAAAATAATATAATTGAAATGCAGTTATTGATTCATAATTAATTATTATATTATAGACAATTGTTTCGATACACTTGCTTATATAAGTAAATATATGAAAATCTTGTGAAATTCTGTTTTAAAAAATTGATTGTGACGATTATTATCAGACAAAAGTAGAATATCTTAAGAGTATAGAATTCTGATATACAAGTCAATATTAAAAATCATAAGATTCCTATCAACGTTAATTTATTTAAACAAGCACAATTTTTCTTTGAATTATTTTATAATTTGAAATAATTTTTTTATTTCATTTATGAAACTTCACAACAAGTATTATCTGATATAATTTCTCATATATTTTTTAATTCTTAATATTATCAATTGCATTAGAAATATACATTTCTTTTATACTCTCACAATCACAAGATTGTAATAAAAATTATTGTTATTGAATTTAAATGAATTAATTCGAATAAAAATTTCTTTGTAAAAATGATTCTTCTTCATCTGAATATAAAATAAGTTACTTGAATATAAAATTAATTGAGGTAATAATTCCAAATTATTATTTACAAATATTCAAATAATAATTTCCAAATAAAATGAGGTTAAACTTGTTGATGATACTTTGTAATTGCACTGAGAATATTATGTTTCTATTGAAAAGAAAATAGCTAACGATGATCTTCGATCCTATATGGAAGCAAAAAATTCATTAGTAAGATATTAAAGTAAAATAAGTTTCTTTTCGTGATGGAAAAGTTATATATAAAAAAAAAAAAACTATTACAATTATATGAAAATATATTTTAATACTAAATGTATCTTATCCAATCCAAGCTGATGTAATGGATTTCTATCACATAAATGAAGAACCAAAATTTAATTTCCATCATAATGGATATATAATATGAATAAAAACTTACAATATTCTTGATGAAGAAGTGACAACTAGTTTTATATTAAAAAGTATAGAGAAAACTATTATATGGTATAATATAATGTATAGTATAATACTATATAATAGCATATTATTACTACTATATTAATACACTATTATATAATATTTTTATATATATACTAGTTCAAATGATATGATTTTTTTGAATTACATCTGTAATTCAAATTTAACTATTAAATACATCATTTTACATTCACACAATTTCATATTTATCTAATCAAATTTTTATATATGCTGTCTCTAAAAAGCAATAAGATTGGTATTATAAAAATATAAATCTTTTCGTAAAAAATATACATTATTTTCTTCGAAATAATTTTTTTTGTGAAGCTATACACCGACGGAGACACTGTTTCAATCTTAATAACAATGTTAAAATGCTTCCATTGCTATACAATATTTTCTGGACCCATTGCTTTCAAATCTTGAGATAGTTCTCAAATTTTGAGAAGAAAAAAAAAGAAAATCAAATAAATTTAGAAGAATAGAATAGAAAGTGTAAAATCACAAGAATAGATTTGTTTATTTACAAATTTATTTGACAAAATTTGCACGTTGGTTCAATATCATTATTTTATTTTTATATAGTAGTTATTTTTATAAAAATTGTTGCCAAATTGTTCATATTATTTCAATCGAATTGAAATTGATATTGAAAAGATATATATTTTTTAAATAACAAAATGGCACTTATATAATATTGTCAAATGTTTATTCTGTATATTCTATATTTATTTCGTCAAGAATTCATATTTCTTTTTTTCATTTCATATAATTTGAACATGTTTTCTTACATGTACAGTATTTATATACTTACTTAAAATAATAATAAAAAATAAATCAATCATTCGCAAAGTTTTATATTTTTTATATTTTTTATTTTTACTCTTCACACATTCAAACACATTGGAAAAAAAAACTTATTATTTATTGATATATAGCTTTTATTATGTTATTTTTAATTCCAATCTATTTATCTGAGAAGATAAAAAATATAAATAAATTTTCATGCGATTAGTCTTTTCTTAATTTTTGTTAGAAAGTGTATATATTTAAAGAAATAAATTTCATTATTCCAATATAAATATATTATTAAGATATCCATATAATTTTCTTACCGAATTTTTTCGTGTTACACGATATGGATTCCTTAATTATTGACAAACATGAATGAATTTGTGATTTTATCGTGTACAATAATTTTATACATGTAAAATTACACAAGATGATGAAACAATTGATTCAACAGCTTGAATCGGTCAAGAAACCGCATCGTTTAAATTATGCATGACAAATACATAATATATGGAGGAAAAAATATTTATAGAGGAAAATATATTAGCAATAATTTAACTCGCATCATATTAAAAGATGAGAAATAATTTGACAAAGGATCAATTTGATAAGTTATTTGAAAAATGAGAATAAAATTGAAATATGATCCGATATTTCTGTTTACCAATATATAATACGAAATATTTTAATTGTTTGATTTTATTTTACTTAACATATCTACTATTAGATAATAAAAAATTCTTGTTTGTAAATTCAAAATATTTTTTTAGTATTATTTTCTCTTTCATGAAAGAAATATATGATAAAAATTTTTAGATATTTCTAGAAATAGCTAGAAATGATTATTGAGATTTTAAATCGAATGATTGAATTGGATTATATTTAAAATTTTATTTTTAAAATTTTTTTTAATATTTTAAAATTTTTAATTTTACTTATTACAAATACTTTAATTACATTCACACAATATATAGAAAAGATTTCCAAAATATTGTCATAAAAATAAAGATTCGATAAAAACGATATAAACGAGAATTCCTCGTTCAATTCATGTTCTTTTGAATTTTTTCTTTCAGATTATGTTATACATAACTTTTGTCAAAGCTAGACGATCATCAGAACTAAAAATAGAATGTCGTAGAAAACTTTTTCACTTTTCGAAATCGTAATTTTTATAAATCGATATAATTTTTTTCTCCTGTTAAGCAGGAATAGATAAGAATAATTGTTTTGATAAATGCTTAAAAATTTTTTTTTTATATCTTTTACATTTTCTTTTTTTGTTATAAAAAAATAATAAAACTGTTTTGATTGATATTTGATTCCAAATTAATATGATACTTTTTTAACAACAGAATACTTAATGCTATTGTAATTTGAAATCTAAAGTTCCTATTTTCATTTTCATCATTAGATATGTTTCTCAAACACATAAAGAGTTTCTTTTTCTATCAATATATTCAGTATTCAGTTATAATTGTAAATGATTAAAATACCAAACGATAATGATTTTTCTAATATTTTTTTTTTTTTCTAAATATGTTTCATTTCTTCAATTCCTTAATCTGACTAACGATATATTTATATAGATGCATGTATAAATAGATAAAGATACATTCATGCAAATACAAAGTACCTCTTGTTATTTTCACAGATCTTTGGCTGCTAAAAATAAAATTTACCATGATAATATTTATAGGCCCAAAGCATAAAATATTTCAAAGATTCGTTACACAAATACTTAAATCCTGCTAGAAAATGATATATCAACAATATAAATTAATAAATTATTTTTATTATAATATTTTCAATATTATTACCATTCTTACGATAATAAGAATTTTTGTAACGAATTTCTATAACATATAAATAGTTTTATTGTGCATTAATATTGATTAAATTATTAAACAAAAAAATATTACTCTGTTCAAACGATAGTGATTTGTCATTCTTATATATAACGTTATTTAAAAAATATCTAAAACATATTATCGTAAATATGGTTCGTGTACTTGGCTCATTAACCTTCTATATACTTCTTTTTTTTTCTTTTTTCTTTTTTTTTATTCAATCATTCCATACATTATGATAACTTTGTAAAATGAATCGTTAGGAAAAATAGTTTTTCACGATACGATCTAAACTCATAAAAAATACGATTTTTAAATGTATAATAATATTTTGTTACGAAGATAAAAATATCCAAATGTGTTTTAATTTTCAAAATTAATTCATTTTCCATTAATACTTTGAAAATGATGATATTTATGTATTACTTTTGAAATAAATTCATAGATATGCAATGATTTTATCGCTTTTTATATGCAAAATTAATTCTGGAACGACTATTAGATATAGAATATTAGAATATAATTAGATTGGATACAGATCAGCTGTTTCTACTAAAATCGTATTCTTATTTTCTATTAATGGATTTTTAAAATATAATAGTTTATTTGATGATACAGTTTATATTAGAAAAGAAGAAAATAAAAAAAAAGTAAGAAGAAAAAGTAATTGAAAAATTTGTAGATAATGTCAAAAATTTAAAAAATAAATTTTTAAGAAAATATTATATTTTTGAATATGTAATACGCGATGATAAATCGATACATTTATTTTAATGATTTCTTTAATTTTATCTTTTCTGTAATTAATTTTATGTTACTCTCAATCAATTATAAAAATTAAGATATCAGTATAATTTTGACTTCTAAGTTTTAATTCCATCTCATATTTTAAATAAAAAAAGAACTAATGGCAAAAATGCATTATAATATGTCGTAATATAATATATGAATTCTAAAAATAAATAACAATTGATTTTGTTGTAATGATACAAGAAGAATTAAAGAAATGTTAAATTTTATATCACAAATTTTATGTCAAAAATATTGGATCATTATAAAAAAATCATTTATAAAAAGAATTAAATAATAATTGTTTATAGAAGTTTTGTCTTATATTCTAATAATAAAACTACATGGAAACGAAGATTTGCTTTGATAATATTTCTTTTAATAATATATTTTTCACAAATCGTGGTAAAAGAAAAATTATGGTAAAAGTATCTTGAAATTATTCAAAATTTTCCATATCCTCATTAAATAGTTATTAAATGGGAATTAAATAAATTATAATTATTCGACTAACTATCTATTGTTGATTATTAGTCAGAATAAATATATTTGTTTCTAGTTTTTTATGATTTTTAATATAATTGTGATATTTGTGATAATTGTGATAAAATCAAAAATGTTTTTAAGAAAATTTTATCATTTCGAAGAGATTATGAATTATTGTATTTGTTTACGAGGTTATTCATTATGGTTCAAGTTAAATACACAATGACTTCATATTAGAACAGTGTTTTTCAATCAATATATATAAATAAATCTATCGAATATAATTTATTAAAATTTTTACAAAATATATTTAATATTTATAATGATCGCGAATATTTATACAAAATAAAATTTTCATGAATAATTTTAGATTAAAGAAATGAAGTATGAATATTTTATATTTTTCGCCATATCGTGTACATTCAAATTTTTCATAAATACAATCTACTAATGACAAGTCGATTAAAAAATTAAAAATCATCATTGGTTACAAATTATTATTTTTATCGATATCTAGATTTGTTATCAAAATTCTGATCTCTTATCAATATTATAAATATTTTTCAAATTTTTTTAAACAAAATTTAATAACAAACAATAAAAGCTATAAAAGAAATATGTATTTAGCATTTCAAGCATTTGAATAAAAATTTTCATTCTAAATATGTAGTAAAAATTTAAAAAATTTTTACAATATGTCGTTAATTCAAAAAGGTTGGGAAACACTGTAATAAAAGTTGAAGATTGTCTTTGATTTATATCTCGTCTGTATTACCTGTGCTAGCATGATTCATAAGTCTGTCTATTTATGTAAACACTATGACATATGTTCGACAAACAAGATTGACGAATCACTACTACCTGAAGAAGCCAATTCTTCTTAATGATAAAATATTAATTTAGTTACATTGCACGATATTAATATCATAAAAAGTACCTGTAAATTCGACAATAAAATCAAAATCGAAGATCGTTTCTCCCCCTTTTTTTTCATTATAAATACGTTAATAACCTTCAAGAATGATATTTTCATTTCATTTGCTATTTATTTTAATAACATATAATTACATAGAATACATTACATAGAATTAATAGAATAATTAAATATCAAAAGTTCGAAACTTCTTTAATTCCTTTTCTAATCGTACGTTCAACTTTACACAGATTGACTTTAAACTTCTCTAGAGGCGCTAATAAAACATTTCCAAATAAACCAAAATACGCTTCGAATTTTTCTTTTTATTATTATTAATAAACATTCTTTATTATCAAAAAACTCCCGTAGCGAGGAAGTTTTTCGGCATATTTTTAAAATAATTTCAACGAAAAAAAAAAAAAAAAAACCAAATAAAACAACTCGATACTCGATAAAAGCGAAAACCGTTTGAATTGCAGCCCGTTCTTCGAGAGGATATTTGCGGAGCACCCCTGCAAACATCCGGTGATCGTGCTAAAGGACTTCCCCGGCCACGAGGTAGCGGCGCTGATCGACTTTATGTACCGTGGCGAGGTGAGGGTCGGCCGCGAGGAGCTTCCCGGCCTGATGANATCTCCGCTCACACCGCAACAAAGCTCCGTGACGCCCATATTCCCGTTGGACGGTGTCGTGTCTCTAGGTGGTGGACTGTTCCCTCATGTAGGTGCCCTAGACAGGGGATCCCTTTTGGCGGATCTCCACGATAGTTTTAAACCGGAAGCGCTGCACGGACTTTTCGGCGCGGCCAGCCTCGGGGCTCACCACCCGGGTAAAAAGCCAAAGAAGCACAGGGGCGACGGTGACACGCCGCACAGGTGGGGCGACCACAGCAGCAGGGGCCTCCCGGTCGGGAGGCCGAAAGGACAGCACAGCGCACCTAGGGGCGGCCCGCCCAGGTCTTGGACGAACGCGGAGCTGACCGAGGCGTTGCAGCACGTTTGGAACAAGAAGATGACCACGTCGCAGGCAAGCAGGATATTCGGCATCCCGTACAACAGCTTGTTAATGTACGTGCGGGGGAAATATGGGAAGAGTTTGAAACTCGAACAGCTGAGAAGGGACTGCACGGGGGCGACTACGGGCGAGGTGGTTATGAATTCGCTTAACAACAACGACAAGGCCGTCCAGCCGCCCGCGCAAATCATCCACCCCCTTGCTGGCCTGCCGCCCCATCCGGGCGACGACGCTGGATTCCCCCATCACTCGTTGCTCGCGGGCAACCTGCCGCACGGTTTCTTCCCCGACTTTGCCCCCGCGGAAGCGTTGAACGATCGTTACTCGTTTGACAATCATATTCGATAAATCGAACCAATCCGACGCAAACCAACTTGTTTCTTCTTTTTTTTTTTCTTTTTTCTTTTTTTTTTTTTTTTT